ATGCGCTTGCTGTCCGTTTGCCGACCCGCAGTAGGGGCCCAAAGCCCCCAAGGGCACGTGTCGATGGCCAAGCCACCGTGGCGGAAGAGTCGCGGTGGCCGCCTTGAAATACAATTCTGATCGGACGGCGAGTAGAATCCTTTGCAGACGACTTAAATACGCGACGGGGTATTGTAAGCGGTAGAGTGGCCTTGCTGCCACGATCCTCTGAGATTCAGCCCTTTGTCGCTCCGATTCGTCCCCCCATCCCCTTCCACGACAAACTACCCCCGCGGCACCCAGAGCGTCCTGAGGTTCATCGGTTTATGGATGAGGGAATGGGGAAGGGAGGGAAAAAAAATAAAGGAAAAAGAAAATGAAAAGTAATCTTATACCTTTTCGGGCCAAAATGTTGCTACTCTGAGATTCAGGGTGTTTGTTTGTTTAACTACTATAAGGGGGGCAGTGGTCCTGAAGGATATGCCGCGGCATAGAAGCCGGCCCACGTGACCGGGTGGTAAAAACGTACGAGGTCGGGTTTTCGGCGCGGTTGGTGGGCCGTGCCGCGTGGACGGGTCGGTCAAGCGGTCGCCGGTCGGGTTTCGGCGCGGGTGGTGGGGCGTGCCACGTGGACGGGTCGGTCAAGCGGTCGCCGGTCGGGTCTCGGTACGGGCCGTGCCACGTGGACGGGTCGGACAAGCGGTCGCCGGTCGGGTCGGCAAAAGCGATTTTCTTGATTTATATAAATATTTATTTATATAAATATATATATATATATATATATATATATATCAAGAAAAGGAAAAGGAAAAGGAAAAGGATAAAGGATTAAGGATAAAGGATTAAGGATCATAAGGATCATACGGATCATACGGTTCATACGGTTCATACGGATCATACGGATCATACGGATCATACGGATCATACGGTTCCTACGGTTCCTACGGTTCCTACGGTTCCTACGGATCCTACGGATCCTACGGTTCCTACGGTTCCTACGGTTCATACGGTTCATACGGATCCTACGGATCATACGGTTCATACGCTCCTCGGGTTCGTGGGCCCTGCCGCGTTAATGGGTCGGTAAAAGCGGTTTTCCCGATCAATTGTTCATATTAATATTCATTGATGAATCGTGAGTTATTTTATTCATTATCTCCAATTAATTTATTACTTAATAAGTTTTAATAACGATTAATTAAAATATTTAGAATTATATTTATTTATACTACGTGTATATAAATAATTACTTACTTATTTGTACGTGTATATAAACAAAATAAACGAACCCTTGCATATCAAGAAAACGAAATAACGAGAAAAGTTTAAAGAAAACGATAAATGTTTAATCAAGGATAAAAGATTAAGGATAATAAGGATTAATGAAAACATTAAAGAGAGAAAAATTTCCATAGATCACTATCATATGTGTGTTAATATGATTTTATGATTTTTTATTGAAGTATCATGCCTTTAAAATGAGGTTTAATAATTAATAAGCATTAATTTTTTAATTAGAGTTAAGTTTAATAATTAAATATATTAATTTTTTACATTGAAATTAAGTTTAGTAATTAAGTAAATATTAATATATTAAATTCATTAATTTTTTAATTAAGTTTATGTTTAATCATTAATTAAATATTAATTAATTGATTTTTTAATTAAATTTAAGATTTATAATTAATTAAATATTAATTAATTAATTTTATTACTTTTTTAATTAAGTTTAAGTTTAATCCTCATTTACATATTGATTTTTCAATGTTTTGTGTACAATTAGGCATTTTTCAGCAAAAAATAAAGGAAAAAGAAATTGAAATAAAAATTTATACCTTTTCGGGCCAAAATGTCGCTACTCCGAGATTCAGTGTATATGTTTTTTTATCTACTATAGGGGGGGAGTGCTCCTCGACGGGTGGGCACGGGCAGAGTTGCGCCGCGGCATGGGGCGCTTCTCAGCGTGGGTTCCGCGTGGGTTCCCATGCCACGGAGTTGGATATTTTCGCCGCGTGGGTTTCGGTGGGTTGGTTATCCTCTCCTTCGGTTCGGTTGGTTGGAATGCCGCGGTTTCCAGGTTGGGTGGGCACGAGTAGTTGCCCCGCGGCATAGGGCACTACTCAATGTGGGTTTCGGTTTTCGGCCGTGGTTCTCCGGTCCACGGCGTTGGTCTTTCTGCTGCATGGGTTTCGGCATGGTCGCCGTTTGCGCTAGCCGGTTTCGGTTGTTTGCAATGGCGTGGCATGAGTAGTAGCGCTACTCAATGTGGGTTTCGGTTTCCTTGCGTGGCCCTCCGGTCCACGGCGTTGGTCTCTCCGTCGCTTGGGTTTCGGTAAGGTCGCCGTTTGAACTAGTCGGTTTCGGCCGGTTGCAATGGCGTGGCATGAGTAGTTGTACTGCTCGATGTGGGTTTCGGTTTTCGGCTGTGGTTCTCCGGTCCACGGCGTTGGTCTTTCCGCTGCTTGGGTTTCGGTATGGTCGCCTCTTGCACTAGTCGGTTTCGGTTGGTTGCAATGGCGCGGCATGAGTAGTTGCACTACTCGATGTGGGTTTCGGTTTCTTTGCGTGGCTCTCCGGTCCACGGCGTTGGTCTCTCCGTTGCTTGGGTTTCGGTAAGGTCGCCATTTGCACTAGTCGGTTTCGGTCGGTTGCAATGGCGTGGCACGAGCAGTTGTACTGCTCTATGTGGGTTTCGGTTTTCGGTCGTGGTTCTCCGGTCCACGGCGTTGGTCCCTTCCGCTGCTTGGGTTTCGGTATGGTCGCCTTTTGCACTAGTCGGTTTCGGTCGGTTGCAATGGCGTGGCATGAGTAGTTGCACTACTCGATGTGGGTTTCGGTTTCTTTGCGTGGCTCTCCGGTCCACGGCGTTGGTCTCTCCGTTGCTTGGGTTTCGGTAAGGTCGCCATTTGCACTAGTCGGTTTCGGTCGGTTGCAATGGCGTGGCACGAGCAGTTGTACTGCTCTATGTGGGTTTCGGTTTTCGGTCGTGGTTCTCCGGTCCACGGCGTTGGTCTTTCGCTGCCCGGGTTTCAGCATGGTCGCCGTATGCACTAGTCGGTTTCGGTCGGTTGCAACGGCGTGGCACGAGTAGTTGCTTTACTCTATGTGGTTTCGGTCTCCTCTCGTTGGCGATGCGACTAGTGGGTTTATTTCGGTCTTTTCCCTTTCGCACTTATTGATGCGAGTGTCATGGCGTTCAACTTGCGGTGGTGGACTATATGCTTGGAGCGATTCCAACCGTGTGGTCTGTTGGTGTAAGTTGTGTTGCACTTGATGTTTGCGATGCAAGACGGTGCGTGAGTTGTCTCCGGCATTTGTGGTTAAGATGGATCATTGCCGTAGCAATGACGTCTTGCCGCCTTGCCTTCTCAGTGTCGATTGCCTCGGTGCTGCTGGGGCCGATTTTCCATGGTTTCCGGTGTCGAATACCGCTGCGGGTGGCATTTTGCATGTTAACTCTCGATTTCCGTCCTGTGCTCGTCCTCGTTTGTATGCGAGGGTGTGCGTGGGATGGACGCCAAACGCCTACTTGTGCTCGGTGCAACCCTTGGTTGTGATCTGGGCATACGAGTAGTTGTGCATGGCTCTTGGATTTGGTATAAGCACGGGGCATTGGAATTCATCTTCTTCTTTCCCCGTGTGCCAATGTGGCACGCTAGTCCTACGCATGACTGCTTTGTTGCATTGAGTGTTCTTTCGTCGCTCGTGCTCGGGGCATCATTTAGGAATGTTACCTGGTTGATCCTGCCAGTAGTCATATGCTTGTCTCAAAGATTAAGCCATGCATGTGTAAGTATGAACTAATTTAGACTGTGAAACTGCGAATGGCTCATTAAATCAGTTATAGTTTGTTTGATGGTACCTACTACTCGGATAACCGTAGTAATTCTAGAGCTAATACGTGCAACAAACCCCGACTTCTGGAAGGGATGCATTTATTAGATAAAAGGTCGACGCGGGCTCTTGCCCGTTGCTGCGATGATTCATGATAACTTGACGGATCGCATGGCCATAGTGCCGGCGACGCATCATTCAAATTTCTGCCCTATCAACTTTCGATGGTAGGATAGTGGCCTACTGTTAGACCCCTTTTTGGCGGGTCTTTATCGAGACATGGTTTGGGCTCGATAGGGTGGCTTTTCGGGGCATGGGATGCGGCCAAAGTCATCATGGCAATGGCCAAGGCATAGTTATGCCGCGGCATTGCAACATTGCGAAGAACGGGCAAGGTGGAAGTTTGGCTAAGGCATGGGGACTTAGTCAAGACAAGGCAAGCTAGACCAAGTATGAGGGCAGAACGGTTGGCGTTGCGAGAAACCATGTTCGGTTCATGGGCGGCATGACATGGTCAAGGGAGACTATGGGTGTGCGGGTCCGGCATGTGGTCCAAGTGTTGGTGAAGGTCAGTGGCATGCGGGGCATGGCTTACGGGATGCGGAACAACAGCTTGGAGGCACAACAAAAGCAAGTGGCTCAAGGTGGCACGTGAACGACTCAAGGGTAGTGCGTGGTGCGTGGCCAGGCTTGAGCCCGGGGCGTGGCTGTCCTTGGGCAGTCACGACATTTGGGAGCTTCGGTGGCAACGAGAGTTGGTTGGCCGTTTGACAAGTGGGACTTGGGCAAGCTGGGCGCAAGGCAACAAGAGTTGGTCACAAGCTCAAAGCAAAGAGTTGGCTCGTGGGTGGCCTGGGTTAGGCCGCGGCATGAGTGCAAGCTCGAAGAGGCGTGTCGGTTCGGTGCGGCATGACTCAAGTCTGGAAGGGCAGGACGGTTACACGCGAACAGGTGCCTTGAGGCGAACCGGTGGCAAGGCAGTTGAGGGCTTCGGGCGGACAAGTGCTTGGGCAGACCGGAAGGCCGCGGCATAGGGCGGTTGGTAACTGCCACACGCGAAGAGACGCGTCCCTTCAGGCTAGGCAGTTGGCTTGTAACTGCCAGACGTGGCTCGTCTATAAATATGCCGCGGCATAACTGCGAGTTTTGTAGTCTTAGCGAGAGACAGCAGTGTGGCCGAGTGTTTGCAAGTGTGTTAGACATTGTGAGCGTGTTGTATTAGTCCTAGTGTATTAATTGTGAATTAATACAAGGTTGGTCGTTGACCGTAAAGTCGTGTGCCTTTATTCTAAGTGTGTGTTAAAGTGTTGTGTTCCTATTCCAATTAAGGGTTGCGCCGCGGCATTGGGTGGAAGGCTGACTGTCTTAAGGCGTTAAGGCAGGCCGTACAGGGTGAAAATTCGAGACGTGAATTTTACCGTGTAACAATTGGTATCAGAGCCAGGTTGAAGATCGTGATTCGTCTGCCGGTGACCAAGGGGTGGAGACTGCGGAGGTACTGGTTCGTGGGCTGATTGAGGAAGCGCTTAGGCCGGTGTGGGCGCGGCTTAAGGCACTTGAGGCCTCAAGGGCAGACCTGGTAAACGAACTGGAGGCACGCTCTGCCGAGAACGAAGCCACAAAGTCAAAACTTGTGATTTTGAAGAGGGCTCTTGCAGCGGGACTGGTCCCAAGCGCTGAAGTAGGCTCTTCAAAGATCAAAGTGCCGGAGCCGAAGACCTTTGGTGGTGACCGCAATGCCAAGGAGTTGGAGAACTTTCTGTGGGATATGGAAGAATACTTTAAAGCCGCAAAGGTGCCGGACGAAGAGAAGGTGAGGATTGCACCCATGTACTTGTCTGGTGATGCAAAGCTTTGGTGGCGGAGTAGAGTAAGGGACGACGCTAATACGGGAAGACACGGGCTGGAGTCATGGGATGGACTC